CACCCAGTTTCCAATGTTATTCCATTCGCAAGGTTTGGGATGGACATCATTGGAGCCTTCCCCCAAGCACAAGGGAGGAAGAAGTATGTCATGGTTGCTATCGACTACTTCACAAAATGGGTAGAGGCCGAGGCATATGCAACCATCACAACCAAGCAGTGCCAGCGCTTCGTCTGGAAGAATATAATCACCAGGTTCGGCTCTCCTCGAAACATTGTGACGGATAACGGGCCTCAATTTCGGAATCCAGGGTTCACCAAATACTTGGAGGACTTCGGGATTACTCACAACAAGGCTTCCGTGGCCTACCCGCAAGGGAATGGTCAGGTGAAGAATGCAAACCGCACAATAGTCGATGGGATTAAAAAGCGGTTGGGTGAGGCAGGAACAAATTGGCTAGAGGAGTTGCCACATATCATCTGGGCTTACCGAGTCACTTCGAGAAGGGCCACAGGGGAAACACCCTTCGTCCTTACGTACGGGTGCGAGGCCAGACTACCCATCGAAGCTAAAATAATGACCTTCCGGGAAAAGATCTATGAGGAGAAAGGGAATGAAGAAGACCATATGGCAGAACTGAACTTACTGGAGGAAAGGCGGATGGTCGCTGAGGCTAAAATGATAGAGTATCAGCAAGCAACCAAGGCCTACCATGATAACAAGGTAGGGCCTCGCTATTTCCAGGTGGGTGATGAGGTCTTGAGACGAAGGGAGGCTAGCAAACCGGGAGACGGGGGAAAGCTTGCAAAGAAATGGGAAGGCCCATATAGGGTCACAGCAATATTACGCCCTGGGACGTACAAGTTAGAAACCATGGAAGGTAGAGAATTGGAAAGGTGCTGGAATTCCCACCACCTTAGAAAATTCTACCGGTAGGCCAAATTGGTAGGGCTTGCATTTGTAATACCCCTTCAATGATGAATAAAAGTTTTCTTCAATACAAGTGATGTTGGGTCAGTGATGCAAAAATAACTTGTCTTGATGTAAGAGGCAAGGTCAAAATTTCAAAAAAAAAATAAAAATAAAAGAGATAAACCCTTGAGATAGGGGCCTTGATGTTGAGGTATAGCCTTGAGATAGGCTGGGTCTGGAAGAGGACTCGCATCCATACTTACATGGATCCCTACCAAATTTTTGTTTGGATAGGGGCGAAAAGATGCCAAAATAAAAAAACGTTTACCGTCTTGCATGAGCCATCCTTTGCGGATTGAAGGGTCTAGGGAAGACTAGAGTTCACTTCAAACGCATAACATATGGACATGTAAGATTGGATGAGGGCTGGTTCTCACCGGCATACCCCCACGATGGGAAGATTGGGTTGGCTAGGTCAACCTAATGATTAAAGAATGGCACATTAAAAGACTTAAAACCTGGAAGAGGGGCCCTGGAAGAAGGGTGTTGCCTGGAAGAGGGCTGGACCTTGGAGAGGATTCGCGATCATAGGACATGGTCAAAATCTCCGAAGAAAGATCGGGTCTTGATGTTGAAACTTGATGATTCCAAAACCGTTTCGGATTATTCGTTCGAAGTTTGATCAATGTTGCTGTTAAGCATGACATCTAGGCCAGAGGGGTATGAGGAGAGTGGCATGGTCAAAAGTGACCGGTCACTTTTTAATGTTCTGGATTGGCAAGAAAATGCGAATGGAAAAAAAATTAAAATTTGACCGGTCAACTTTGAGAAAAGTGACCGGTCACTATTTTCGGGTTGGATTTGAGGAAATCAGGCAGATCTGGAAAACTTCATTTTTGACCGGTCATATTTTTGACCCGGCACCTGGACAGAAAAATTGACATCATGCTGGTTAGATAGTGAAACCAAGCCATTGGAAGTTGATCAGGACGTTTTCAACCTAGATGATTGTCACAAACCGGGAAGAAACTTACCTAGACATTTTCAAGTCAAGAGACCAGGACATGAGATGACCTGGAAGTTTTCAAGCCTTGCATCTAAAATGCTCCTCAAGACTTTCAACCTAGGCTACTAACCAGGACACGAAATGACCTGGACATTTGTAGCAACTCAACCTAGACATAAACCGGTCCAGAAAACTAGTCAGACATGAGGTGCCCTGGACCTGGACATTTTCAAGATTACAAGACCTGGACATTTTCAAGAGATGAATTTGACCAGGACATTATATGATCTAGACTTGAGATGACCTGGATATTCTTTAAAACAATTCCTAAGATTCAAGACTGGCTACATTTATCAACTAGGAAACCTAACCAGGCAACTACCAAAGCAACCATGCGAGAAGTGATAAGCATGCGAGAAAAGAAATCAAACCATGCGAACGGAAAGAAGTAAACAAGCCGGTAAAAGTTAAAGGCATGCCAGGAAAATTTGAGTATCATACAAATCAAAAGTAGGCCGGACATCCCCCAGGCCTTGGGAAAATTCAGAGTTTCTTCAAAAACTACCCTAACCTACTGTAAAGGGAAAGGGGGGGGCTGGCTCTTCCTGGTACAAAGGAGGAAGCTTCATCTTGGCCGGGTCAAACGAAGGGTCCCTCTTCTGGAGTCTGGCATAGAGAAGGGACCTCTCATCCTTCTGGCCACACTGGAAGCCGTATGACCCGATCTCAGTTATCATCCTCTTGCCTTCCGGTTCCTTGTACATGGTCTTGAAAAAGTCCATAGTACTTGATGAGAATGGACCGGGCAACTTCAGTGTGATGGCAGGCGGCCCAAGTCGCAGCATCATCGGGAAAAGATTGCTCCTTTGCTCGGGCAGATTCTTCGGCCTGTCCCAAAGCTTCCTCAAGCTCAGCCACCTTTCTCTTCTCCTCCACCAGCTTGGCTCTTTCCTCGTCTAGCCTGGCCCTCTCTTCCTTCAGCTCCTCTTCAAGTCTCTTCTCCCTTTCGACCCGGTCATTGATCTCCAACTTGGCAGAATCAAGAAGGAGGGTGAGTTCGGAGACCTGGTCCTTGGACTCCAGGAGTGACCGGCCAACTTCTTCGGATAGAACTCCAACCTGGAAAACAAACTTGTCAGTAAAGGCAAAGGAAGTAACTAAACCGGGAGGAAAATCAGAGTTGGTACCTTGCTAAGTTTTTTGGCCAGGGATAGGAAAGTTACTTCGATGGATTCCCCCTTCAAATCTGATAGCCTGACCTTCTTCTTCTTTTCTCCCTTGGAAGTCTTGTGGGAACCCTTCCTTTTGTGAGAGGAAGAATGACCGGTCTCCTTTCCTTTGGCCTTGACATCCTTCTTAGGAGAAGGGACCCGGTCATTTTCAGAGAGATGGGTGGCTGGACCAGGCACTTGTGGCCTCATCCATTTCAGGGATATGAGGAGGAGAAAGAGGCTTGGAAAGAGGAGACCGGTCGGAATGGAGGACTTGAATATCATCGTCGTCATCTTCGATGATGGTGGTCATCCTGTTGAATTCCATGTCTACAAACAAGAACGGAACAAAACATTACCGGTTAGCTTTTTCAACTTAACAAAATAAAGTTGAAATCAAAAGGGAAGGGAGATTGACCGACCTGGATGAGGAGAACTGCCCTCAGCATGACCATCCGGGGAGTTGGCCCGGTCATCTTCTGCGTCATGGGTCGCAGACATACCCCCATCCGGGTTGGACAACCGGTACACCCAGCCCCCATAAGCATAAGGTTTCCCGGTCGAAGGATCACCCTTGAGAAGTTTCTCGCAAGCGTCCTCAAGCTCTTTAGTGGGCACAGGGTGAACCCTTTCAGGTTTTATAACCTGGTCAGCCCACTCACGGTTAGAGAGGGGAAATTGGTCAGGGAGAAATTCAATGAAAACAAATCTTTGTTTCCATTTCTTGTGGCTAGGGGGGAGACCGGTTAAAAAACCCCTAGAGTTGGCACGGGAATGGAAGTAAACAAAGCCCGGGCAGTTACTAGTCCCGGGCAAGACATCATACATATGAAGGAAGAGATCAAGGGAAGGTTTGATGTTCAGAGATTCACAAATATTTACAAAACAATTCAAAAA